ACGCAGTCTTTTCATAGAATGATTAAGCATATTCTGGAGATTCGATTCATATATAATATGTTGGGAAATTGGAGTATTTTTCGATCCAAAATGTATCATTTTGTAAAGAATTCGCGAAAAAAATTCCAATGTCATCGCTTCAGTTTATCATAACTTTTTAGTTCACGATATGAATTTCGATTTTTATGATATCTTTTGATATATTGAAATGTGAGCAACAAATTGTTTCCTATAAACTTTTCGCACGTTTCAAAAATAAACTTTGTAGAAGCGTTTATTGTCTTATACGTAAGAGGCCGTCCGAGCGCACGAGTGAGAACGATACAGCGGCGTTTACGTGTTCTAGACAAGAACAAACAGTAAAGATTCGGGGAGGATAACTGTCTCATTTGCGAATGGAGCTTTCTTGATGATTCTTTTGCTAGTAACATTCTTACACTTTACAATGGATTGAAACGAGTCATTTCACGGTTGAGTATGTAGGTAAATGACTTCAGTTACATATATTGTCCCAAAATAATTCACTTCAAAGGCAACGAAGTGAAAATGGTATAAAAAAAAGACCAAGAAGATATTGGGAGATTTTAGAATTTTCTAAACATGAGTCCCCAAAAAAATTAATGAACATTGCAGCTGGACAAATAATAGTATACCAAAATATATTGAAGAATTTTTATGACATGTTTGAATGCTGCTCAAACAATGATATTGGATGAAGTTTTTGAACGGAGGCAACGTCAAAAAAGTTTGAACATTTTCCGATTATCAGAAGAATGCAATGAATAAAGAAGGTGAGTCTATATAGTATACATATTATATAGTAAAAGGATCAGATGGTATGTTCAATAGCCGTTTGAAAAAACAGAAATCTAGTAGACATTTGTTTCATATGAGTTGATATGTGTTTCTTTTCCTATTTTTTCATTAGTTCAAGAGATGAAAGAGTTGAAAAGAACATTCAGTGAATCAGGTCAGCTCTGTTTATGAATAATAATAAAAGATCTCAAAATGAAAAATTTCCAGACGAATTATGTGATTATTGTATTCGACAGATATGATCGTAGAATCTCTACCAGCTAATAGAGCAATAAAGACGAGGAGATACAAATTATAAAAGTTTTCGAAAAAAGGAAATTGCTCCATTCCTAAATCTCAGTGGTTTTCAAAGGCGTCCAGGAATAAACATAACCTGGTAATATTTCTAGCGAAAATATTAATTTTTGATAATATTCAGACATTTAGTATTCCGAAATAAACCATCGCTGGATCAAGGTATCGGAAGGGTGAATGTAGGATAATAATATGGATCATTCTGTTACCAACAATGTAGGTATCTCTGAAATCTGAAATGCATCCATGAGGTTGCAGATAATTATGTTACATTTACTGGAAGAATCCGAATCTTCCAGTAATATTCTCTTTAGTCGGATGATACTGATGTTCTGTCATCATTCTGTATTTCTTATGATTCTATTATTTGAAATACAAATTTCTGTTTCCAAAATGGCCATGCAGTCAAACTTCTCATAGGTATACTTGATTTATGTTAATTCTATCAGTACCTAATGGTCTATAGGAATAGAATTTTGCAAGAAACTACCGGCTCTACATGCCCTTACTGGATCTGATTAAAGTGATACTATTTTCAAAAATGGAAAGATTTTGCATTAGATAGTGCTAGGGAAAAAAAAGACGACATTGAGAGTTTACCTCATCAAAATTATTGGATTATGTGGACATAGCAAGGAATTATGTAAGTAATGCTACGACCTTAGATCAGCTAATAAGACACAAATTCACTGTCAATACTTTCAAGTCTTCTGTCGAACTTATTTCTACAAGAAATACATTCACACAGTTCGTACCGAGGTGCGTACTAAAGTATAACTTTGTTGATTCATGAAATGCACCCAAATTGTATAGGTAGTTAATTCATTCCTGGCTGTGCAATACAATATAAAATATATTGCAAGAGTAAAACTGCAATGATCATGATGGAATTTTACTGAAATCATCAGTATTTTCAACTCTGCCACCTATACATCCAGAGATATACAAGAAATGCTCAATATTTCTTGCTCTGACAAATCATGCAATTTTGAAATAAAAGACAATGCCATAGAGACGATAATTTGAAATGCAAATGCAAATAAGTACATGTTGATCGACTTCAACTACTTAAATAACAATGATATATGTATAAATAATTAGTGAATCGATTGAATTGTTTATATATTTTGCGAACATTGAAATAATTTGATATACAATCCATCGAAATATTTTATTGACAAAATTATAATTCCTCATAATAATGAATAATTCTGTAACTAACAGTTTATCCTTAAAGTGCATTCATGAGGTTGCAGATACACTATAATTATGTTACATTTACAAGAAAAATCCAAATCTTCCAGTACATATAGGTAATCGTGTTATTTTCTTCCACAGATACTGTGTTGCATCATCGGGTCTCAGATTTATGATAACAAACTTTTCACTAGTTTTTCAGGGGAATATGTGATGAATTTCAGTTAGATTCAATATTTTATATAAAGATTGACATTCTAAGCAAGCAAATATGTAAATTTATCGATATAAATCTAGTATATTCATCATATCTGTGGATGGAGCTCTTGATATTATTTCATCTTCGCTCCGCACTCATGCACCAGTATCTATCGCACTCTGTCTCACTCACTGTGCATAGCCTATCTAAAGTTGCACGTTGTCATTAAAAGCGCTATAAAAAGTTTATTTTTGAAACGTGCGAAAAGTTTATTCGAAACAAATTGTTCGTTATACTTCAATCTATCTAGATGAAAGAAAAAAATTGGAATTCATATCGTGAAAAAGAAAGTTATTATAAATTGAAGGGGTGTTAATGCTAAATTATTCATGTAATGCATGACAAAAAATTTATTTTTACTTATAAAAAACCTCATTTGGGCAGTTTATATACCATGAATCGAATCTTCATAATGTCCTCAACAAAATGATGAGAAGTTGAGGCATCTAAGTTATGTGGTCTACAAGTTACAAAGTTTTATACATTTACGTGCGAAGTAGATTTTTTTTTGTAATTTTTGTGTTTGTTCGTTTATAACTTTTTTCGGTACCATAGAAAAAAGTAGTCAATCTGGATTCTAATGAGTCAATAGTTTCTAGATAGGATAGTGAGGGTCTGATATCTTTCTACTCTGAAAAATTTTTTTGATAACTTTTACCCTGTGTTCCGCTGCACTAATTCTTGGGTAGGTATATGTACAGTGTGTCCCACTTACCATGCTCACCATGGGTATCTTTTTAACGGTAAGAGATACGAGGTCGGTTAAATGACACCAAATGTGGAGTTTGTCAAGGCCAACTATAATGTGAAAAAATATTTTGATAAAATCTATTCGTTTTTGTTTTATACGCAAAAAACAGATTTTGATCATTTTCATGTCTCCTCCGTAACTTCTTTTTATTTATGAAAATATTCATACGGGAATTTCACATTCTCATGGCAGTTTTTCAAAGTGATTCCGAAAAAAATATGAAATTTATAGCAACTCTTCTAGAATTTGAGACATCAGCACTAACTTTAGTTTTTCAAATGTAGGTCATACCTCACTATGACTTAGTTACAAATAACTTTTTTTTCTCTCACAGATGATATGTCGCAGTAATAGTTTTGTGTTGATAACAACGGAGTTATCGTCAATTATACAAAATCAAAAAATTATTTGGAAGCCGCCATCTTGAATTTATGAATTTTAACAAAAAAAATCATGATCTCCGACCTCAAAAACCCCCACTTACCAATTTTGAATGGAATCGGACCAAATCTTGTCCGCCATCATATAAAGAAAATGGCTGCTCTAAGATGGCGGACAAGATTTGGTCCGATTCCATTCAAAATTGGTAAGTGGGGGTTTTTGAAGTCGGAGATTATGATTTTTTTGTTTTTGTATAAATGACGATGACTCCGTTGTTATCAACACAAAACTATTACTGCGACATATCATCTGTGAGAGAAAAAAAAGTTATTTGTAACTAAGTCATAGTGAGCTATGAGCTACATTTGAAAAACTAAAGTTGGTGCTGATACTGCTGATATCTCAAATTCTTGAAGAGTTGGTATAAATTTCATATTTTTTTCGGAATCACTTTGAAAAACTGCCATGAGAATGTGAAATTCCCGTATGAATATTTTCATAAATAAAGAAGTTACGGAGGAGACATGAAAATGATCAAAATCTGTTTTTGCGTATAAAACAAAAACGAATAGATTTTATCAAAATATTTTTCCACATTATAGTTGGCCTTGACAAACTCCACATTTGGTGTCATTTGACCGACCTCGTATCTCTCACCGTTAAAAAGATACCCATGGTGAGCATGGTAAGTGGGACACACTGTATAGGTAATTGATTTGATGTTTTCTGAAATTCATTTGAAGGTCTTTAGAATTCAAACGAGATTTTCTGAAATACAATTGACTATAAGTATATTTCAAAATACAAATGCCGATAAAATATATATTTTCTGAAAATCAGTTAAATAAATACGAAAAGCTCAGAGTCATTTCCACACAATGTTCATAAAATGAACAACAATGTAGATATACCTATATTTCAGTAAACGTTTTATTGTATTTAGAAAAATAAAGTTCACGTCAGAGCTCTCGGTAGCACTGATCATTACATTTTCACATGGAATGAATGTTCTATACCCACAATTCAATCTTGATAATCACGAAATGAAAAATGACGACTCGAATGACGGTATGTGTGTATGGACCTGGATTGCCACAAAGTTATGTGGACCTGTAGTTAAAATCAACTCACAAATTTTGACCTATATACATATTTATAACCTCTCGACCTTCAACCCATAATATGAGGGTAAAATTTGATTTTCTGGATAGTGAAACGTTAATTAGATACCTGCATAATGAAAATTACAAATTTTTCGAAGTCGAATGCCTGAAACAGACATTATAAACACCAAACACCAACCTTCTCCTGCTGCATCTGCTGCTTCATCAAAATCGTCTTCTTCTTATCTTTGCACCGTTTATTCTGGAACCAGACCCTGATCACCCGCGGACTCAACGCCGTCATCTCGACCAGCTGCTCCTTCATGAGGGCGTCGGGACGCGGGTTGGCCGCATAGCAGGTGCGTAACGTGTGCAGCTGCTTCTCGTTGAGGACGGTGCGCACGCGCGTCGGCTTACCGTCGCTGCCGCCGCCCCCGCCTCCGCCACCCTTGCGATGTCCGCCGCCGCTGCCGCCCTTGTGCGAGCCGCTCTCCGAACCGGAATCTGGAATTATGTGAAAATTATGTAAAACTATGTAAAAATATTTAAAAATATGTAAAATTATGTAAAATTATGTAAATTATGTAAAATTATGTAAAATTATGTAAAATTATATAAAATTATGTAAAATTATGTAAAATTATGTAAAATTATGAAAAAATAATGTGAAATTATGTAAATTGTGCAAAATTATGTGAAACTGTTTGAAATTATGTGAAATAATGTGTAATTATGTGATATGGTGTGAGAGTATGTGAACTTGTGTGATATTGTGTGAGCATTATGTGATAGTATGAGAAAGTATGTAAAGATGTGTGAAATTATTCGACACTATATGTGAAATGATGTTGAATTGGCTATTTATGTAACACATTGTGCACCATTCTTCCTGCAAACTAGAAACAAAAATTATGTGGAATTATATAAAAATATTCGTGGAAGTATGTAAAGTTATAAGAAATACTGTGAAACTATGTAAAATGATGTGAAATTATGCGAGTGAGCTATTCATCTGAAGAATTGGGCACCGCTCTCCAAATCGGAATCAGAAATTATGTGAAATATTGTAAAAATCACGTAATAGTTCGTGAAAGTATGTGTAGGTGGGAAATGCCATGAAAATATGTGAAATAATGTGAAATTATTTAGAATTAGCTATTCATATGACAAAAGGAGCACCGCTCTCCCAAATGGGAATCAGGAATTATGTGAAATTATGTCAAAATATTTTATAGTTCGTGAACTTATGTAGAGATGAGAAATACCGTGAAACTATGTAAAAATCTGTGAAACTATGTAGAGTTAGCTTTTCATATGACGAAATGAGCATGGCTCTCCGAACAGGAATCAGTGATTATATGAAACTATGTAGAAATTATGTAATAGTACGAGAAAATATTATGTAAAGTTATGAGAACTATGGAACTATGTAAAATATTGTGGGACCATGTAGAGTGAGCTATATTAATATAAAAAATTGGGCAACGCTTTCCAAATCGTTATCAAATCTTCCTGTAAAAATTACAATGATGAAATTTCGTAAGTATATATCTGATGAGTATGATGTGTTCCTCCATTGAATCACTATACTTCACACCAGTTATATCAGCTCAGATTTTGATACAGGGTGAATTGGAAAAGAAAAAATATTAAGATTTGCCATTGAATAAATTGGTATAAATTACCAAACTGTCGTTTTTGAAATTTTGACTACCTGAGTATTCAGATGTTCGAAGAGAGTTCGTTGAGTAGGTACCTATACTTACTATATATATATAGTTCTTTTCAAGATCTAAGAAACTGACCTGACCTGAAATGCGATGAAGACATAAGACATGAAAGTATTAGCTGTGACAGGGTCGTATTTAGTTTGTTGTTGGCTCGCAACACATTCTGGAATATTGTTAGTTATTAAGTTCTGCAGTGATAGTGATAATTGTTAAAAGTATTTATTTAAAGTAAGTACAGCGAGGCTACGAAAAACATTTTTCATTAAAAGAATCATCAACTCTAACCGGCGTTCCTGAAAGTACAGTATGGAAAATTGTAAATAATACTGTAAAGCCTAGAAAAGTACGAAAAGACAGTGGTGCACCTAAATCTGTTGATATATACAATGAAGATTTAATCCGGCGGAAACTTTATCAGATTTAATATGAAGAGCAGAAAGTTCTAACATTATTACTACAACCTTGTGGAGTACTCTACGTCGTTTGGGGTTTTAATTTGAAAAAATAGACAAAAGGCAAGTTATAATGGAATCACAGCGCTTGCAACAACTTAGAATAGAATATCTGGAAAAATAAATAGCACTAGATCGGAAAATAAAACGATAATATACCTAGATGAGACATGGTATGACACCCATGACACACACAGGTAAAGGATGGATTGATGAATAAAAAAATGTCACACTAAAGCTCCGTCGAATAAAGGTATTGAAGAATAAAAATTCTACATGCGAGATCAGAAGACGGCTGCTGAGTACCAAATTGTTTATTTTTGGGAGCCAACTGCTGAAGTTTTTGAGGACTGGTTTCAAAACAAATTATTACCGAATATAGGTACCACCAAAGAGCAGTATTGTGATCGATAATGCATCCTACCATTGTCGCCATAGTTGAATAAAGTGCCAAGTTCCACCAGCAGAAAGAAGGAAATACAAGACTTTCTGTCTGAACCTGACATATATATTTCCATGAGAGGTTTTGAAATGTTACAATTACAAAGAAAAATACGTTTGCGATAAAATTGTAGAGGTAGCAGGTATATGCGCGCACATTAAATACACCAACTTTAAATCCTATAGTAATTGAACTGATGAAAACAGAAGTCTAAAATGTAACCGTTGAAAACTGGAAGAACTGTACTGAACACGTTAAAAAAATTGAAAACTCTTAGGGTCAGGGTATGTTAGGTTAGGTTAGTTTTTTTATGAAATTTTGTTTTGGGATATTGGTATAAGTGAGTTCCAAATTACGAATATTAGAAGGGTGCTGCAAACTCAGATCACACACACTGTATATAGGTATCGAACATCAACTGTCTGAAAGTTGATGTTTGATGACTATACCAAACCATATCATCCATTGGATAATCTACATGAAATATATTCTACTCTCAACTTCTCCTGGTCCTAATAAAATAATAATTATTATTCACAAAGCAGCCAAGTTTGCATCATAGTCCCAACTGACCATCGTTTCACGCCTCGCTAATCTCCACTAATTCGCCCTATAATCCAGGGCTCGGACAGTCGAAACGATAAACCCTACATTACTATCAAAGGTTGGCCCTTTGAACTGACGCTTGTCCAGATATGGTCGAAGATTATAATGACTCAGGCACAAGGACAGATAACCGATAACACATTTTACTTTGATGATTAATGCGCTAGTGTTTCAGCGAATTGAAAACATGATAGGTAATTTATTTATAAATGCATTGGCGTAACTATAGGACTTTTCTCTGTGGGTTGGTGACATGACATCTCTGAGATGCCGCCTTCGGGTAACAGTGCGATATCACAAACGTTCCATCGCTGCGAAGTTCATAAGCAAACACATCTGCGACATGACATCTCTGAGATGTCGCGATGAGGCAACACTGCAATATTACGAATGTTCCATCGCTGCGATGTACAGAAGCAAATATATCTGCGACATGACATTTCTAAGATATCGCGATGAGGCAACACTGCGATATAACGAATATTCCATCGTTGCGATGTGCAGAACCAAACACGTCGTGACATCTCTGAGATGTCGCGATGAAGCAAAACTGCGATATCACGAATGTTCTCTGCGATGTACAGGGTGATCAGTTAATGGTAGCGAGAGCCATATCTCATAAAGATATTGGTCGTATAGATTTGAAAAAAAAATTATGATAAAAGTCGCCAAGAGAAATTGCTGGAAATTATTTTCGAGTTTGTCAAACGTCCGGTAGAGGGCGTAACAACCAACACCAAGTAGAAAAGATGGGATTTTTAAAGAATTTTGTCTAATGAAAGTATACCGATGATAACAATTTCACATTTACTGACCATTCTCCTACATTTTTTGTCTGAAACGTTTTGTTCTATCTATCAGAATAAAGCGGTGGGGGGAGTTCAATTGTTTTTTTAAAGAAACCAAGATTTCTCCTGTTTATTTCGACCGATTTCAGCAAACTTAGGTTCATATGAAAGAGCATAATTTGCCGTACAAAACGCTTATTTGGTTTTGTATTTTTGACTTTTGCTGTCGCCGCTAGATAGCGTTAACTGAAATGTTAGCAATTTTTTGAGTTCTTCTCAAAAAAAAAAAACAAATGTAATGGTATATCAGTTTTTATATGTTTTGAAAGAGGACAAATTTCTCTATAATTTAATGAAAATAATTTATCATCTACCTTCTTTTGAACCGTTGATATTGACCAAAATATAATTTTATTACATTATAAAATGGCACGCCAATCAAAATAAAAATCAGTTTTGTAATCTCTTATTAGTTGCTAACAAAAAGAACCTCTTGACTTTTTGTCGTTAGACAAACGGTTTTGGAATAAAAAATAAAATAGGTTTACATACTGGTTACGCCAGATTTGCTACAGTGTAGACTTTGGATGGCCTAACCTCAAATTTTATTTTGATCCCATTTTTTTTATGAGTGCCATTCGATAGTACACGTCGAGCTTTCTCATTGTTTGAAATATTTGCACTTATTTCAATGTCACCCTGTATATATAAAAACTTATTTTTCTCATTTCGACTAGTATACTTATATATTATGCTGCATGAACTTATAGTTTGTGAAACCTCTTTTTTAAACACTGGTATACCTAAGTACCTACTCGAGTTTGTATCATGTATTTTGTTAAAACATCAAAAGCGACTAAGAGACATACGTTTTATGTATGTATAATCTGGTTGTGACTTTGTGAGGTCCGAGGAAAGAAAAACATTTTCATTGGGCGTTGGTGTTTGAAAGGTCGGCGACTGGCTGTTTGGTTAGCCTTTATTTAGTTTGGAAACCTCGCAAGATGAGCATTTTTACCGTTCAAATATTTATCCTCGTATTTACCGTGAGCTTAACTTCAAAGATAGAAGACTGCCGTCTTCTGGACACGCACACAAAAACCCTAATCTAGTTTTCGAGCGGGCCTTAGAGAATATATATGCCGAGTCATCTTGTTCTTATATTGTCGCACTTTCTTTCAGAAGAAGGCTTTTACCTATACCTGTCCTCATTTCTACAAATACAAATATGAATATATTCCGAGGGGTGAACAAATGGTTGAAAAATGCAAATACAGGTGTATTGCCAAATCGGCAATACTTTCAGGAAATATTGAATATAAATGCACAATAAAATCAGTACTACTTGTACTTATTTCCTGATTCCCTATATACGAATCCCAGAATATTATACTTGTATTTCCTGTCTATTGCTTGTGTTTCCTGCATATTTTCTGTATTTCCTAGTTGATACCTGTATTCCCCTAAATATTCAAAAATATGGCCAACTTCCGAATGACGAGAAAATGTAGAGAAAGAAATACTAGGATAGATATTTAGGTAATTTCGAGTCCATTCGATTTTGAGAACAAAATATGTTGCTTATATAGAAACCACAGGAGCGCATGGTGATTTATATAATAATAAATGACAATAGGTAAAGTATTATCGCATTAACATTGAATTATTAAGAGCATCCCGAAATTTAGTTCTCGTTTAAATAATATTCTTAGGAATATCCTGATAGGAAATATCCTATATATATTCAAAATAGTTTTTGCGGTCATTTCTAGAAAGTATATTTTCTCACTCATGAGATATTTACTCTACTTCAATCCACACACACATTATTTTGCTTTCACCAATGTATAGTTTGATAAATATGTTCAACATATTTCCCACATGCATCACAGTAAAAATATATAAAAGTCATGCACATATGCTATCACAAAAAAAATATTGAAATATGCAATAATATACAGGGGATTCTTTTTAGAAAATGTATACTTCTCCAGTTGCCTTATATAATTATAATGAAGGTTCCCTGGATGTTTCACTATATTAGATCAGACTCATATGCTCTCACAACTTATTTGAGAATAGTAATGAACGGAATATTGCGGAATATTGCTGGTATTTCCTAAAAATTTCCTTCATATTGCCTGTATTTCCAAAATATTGCTTGTATTGTCCATGTATTGCTAGTATATCCGTTATATTGCCTGTAATCCCTACATTTTGCCTGTATTCCCAAAATATTGCTTGTATTGACTGATGAATATTTCTGGTATATTTCCTGAGAAATGTCTATATTTCCAGAAAGGAATTACCTGAAAATTCTTGTATTCCCTTCGAGATCCCTTCATATTGCCCGTAATTCCAAGGAATTCCTTGAATTGCCAATGTTTTTCTCATATATTTTGAAAATATTGCCTGTATTGCCTGAATAATGTTTCTCCTATATGTTCTGATAATTGCCATTTCAAGCAATATGTAGGTACAGGCTCGGGTACAGGTATTTCAAAAGTAGTGCACCCCTCGGTATATTCTTTTGATAATAATACAGGGTGTTATTCAAGTATGTGGCTAAACTTCAAAGGGCGATCATTTGGGTGATTCTAAGACGAAAAGTTCATATATACGAATTTCTCGTCTTAGAATCACCCAAATAATCACCTCTTGAAGTTTGGCCACATTCTTGAATAACACCCTGTATAATATGTGTAGTAAGAACAAATCAGATTGAAAAAAGTCATTGTGCATGAAAATTTCACTATTAGGAAACCAGAGAGATGAATTCAATCGATGACGCGTCTGAACTGCCATCCTAAAAAAACTTTTTTTTTTCAGGAAGAGACAAAACTTTTATTTACAACCATATACAGAATGATGCAAATGTATGGAATAAATTCATTTCAAAACAAGACGACTTCCGAAAAAAATCCAAAAATTAGAGTTCAGAACCTTTTTAATTGATTTATTTTTTAAACTAGACGACCCTTCAATGTTAAATTCTCAGTAGTAGACCCCTGCAAGATTCAGTCAATCAAATTATAATCCATTTTAATTTCAATCTTCTTATACAAAATTTTGACTGTTGAATAGACGATCAGTAGACCTTACAAATGAGGTGTCACATGACCTCTGTTTGTATTTGAAAAAATCGTCCATCACGTCATTACTCCAACATCGGTGACGTAACATCTCTCATATGAATATCATGAGATGGGGCTTCGAAAATGAAAACTCACGTGTTTTTGGAATTTTTTCAAATGTCGCCCATCTCTGAAATAATGAATTTATTCCATACATTTGCATCATATATACATGTTGTCATAACTAACGTCATTGAAGGCTGGGAAGTGTCATATTACACACCTCTACTTCCCGCCCTCAATTATGTAATATTTCAGATATGTTCAGAAATAAACAGAGATTTATTAATTTTGATCGAAATTAGATGGTTGTAAATAAAATAGTACACAAACCTCGGTAGGAAGTTTCATTCCTGTCTCGAGATTATAGCTACTATAACTAATCTCAGGACAGGAATGAATCACTTCCCACCTCGGTGTGTAATATAATATTTTTCAGGAACTAACCGAACATTTCATACTTACGGAACGGAAAACTACTAACCAAAATAACCAAGTTGATTTACGGAACATACCCTACACCATATTCTATCAACTATGCGCCTAGCTGTTTTATCGGTGGTAACGACCCAACTCACCGGACATACACCCCAGCTCCGCCGAGTTGTTGCTGTTGTGGTTGTTGTTGCTCAGGCTGGTGTTGTTGTTGCTCTCGCCGGCGGGATGCGGCGTCGCGGGCGCCGACGCCGCCGTCTTCTCCATGGCGTCGTGGTCCTCCTTGCAGTAGAGGACGCCGCCGTCGCGCAGCGCGAATTCGTCGCCGGGCACCAGCTGTCTGGCGCATGCGCGGCACCGGAAGCACTCGATGTGGTAGATCTTGCTCTTGGCGCGCATCACGAAGTCGCTCTTGCTGAAGGACAGGCCGCACTTGTCGCACTTCGTGCCGAACAGCCTGCAACAAGCGACGACAATAGAGATGAATGTCTCTCGCCAGTCATTCAGTTAGTAGCATGCTGCTGTGCTGTTTATCACAACAAGCAGTGCAGCCTGTGCTGCTTGTTGTGATAAACTAGGGTTCCTTGATGAATTGACGTTGAAGTCATCTTAACAGGGGGCATATTCCGAATTCAACTAGTCAGTACTGACAGTAGATCCACTGAATCTGCTGAAAATCTGTGTTCCGAAATATAAAATCAAAAATACAGTGCTGTAAATCCGAACACGTTTTCATGGTTTTCTTCAGTAGTTAGCCAATGAACTCAATATTGAGTTCATTGTAGTCAGCAGCAGTTGATCAGCTGGTGAAATTTGGTCAGTCTGTAGTTTCTCGTTTATCTGAACTAGATATTTAGCCTCCTGCTTGATATAAATTTTGGAAATTTAATTTTTAACCTGGAAGAGCAATCGCTTCTTGTAGCCTCCATAGTATCTACGATTATTGACGATGACGATTCAAGCTCGAGTGATGAAGAATACTTGGACATTTTGTTGCCATTAATTTTTCATGATGCACCAGATTGGGAATTGAAAGATTCATGGAGAACGTAATGATGATGAATTTAGGAGACATTTCAGGTTTGTTTAGTTATTTATTTAGCCAATGCTGCTGCTTCTTTCCTTACCTCTACAACTTCATACTCCATATTATTCTCAGCTTATTATTTCAATAACAGGTGTTTTCTGATATTGAAAATAATATCATTAACAACAGAAATAAATGTTACATTCCTTCCCCCTCTAAAATAATGACAGTTTACTGAAGCCACACTATCTTTTGATACTCAGCAATTTCAGCAAAAGGTTGAGTCGAAATATTTGGAATGAATAGTATATCTGCTCACAAGCATCTGTCACTTTCAGTGATTATTTTTATTTCGGAATGAATAATCACCAGATTCAGTAGGTACTGTCAGTTGAATTCGGAATGTAGCTAGGATACGGACAGATCATAGCTGCATTCATTTAGGAATTCCATATAGAAATTCTGTATGATACGCCAATGTCCTCAATATAACCTAAAAAACAACAAATGTCAAGAATCTAGTAGTGTTTATCCCCAGAATTGAATAAGGATGGACCTATATAACTGTTTCACAAACACTTTAGAGTGAGAGGAGACGAGGATCTGTCCATACCCTGTTAAGATGACTTTAACGTCAATTTCCATTAACGGACCCTATGATGCAAACTGACGTATTTGTCATCTAACAGGGTACGGACAGATCATAGCTCCTTTCTCTTTTAATCATCTAGTGACTTTGGTTTCGTGTATTGGCGTCCCTGATATGACATTGCTGTCACGTTACATTCATAGAAGTTAAAAGAGATTTTACAAAATTTTAATTTCATAGTTGATCTTAATACGACATAATTCAATTCTGTTTTGGTAGGATGGTAAAATGTGCTGCGTTAGGCTGTATCAATCAGTTGGATGGCAAATTCCATCAAATGCAAATGAACTTAGAACATGGACAGCATAGATCTAAATATTTAAATCTATGTGGAAAGTGAAGTGACCGAATGGGGAAAATTGGTAAATACATCAGCAAAAATATTCGAGGTAAAACTAATACGAAATCACATATTATACTTTCTCATTGTGCCCATAATTATCCACTCCACAAGTTTTTGAATGCATTTTAATATAGAAACAGTTTCGATTAAAACGAAGGATTAAAAGAACAGACAAATTCAGTGTTCGTGAAAAACTGCAATTATGATTCCCAATATGAATATATACAGCACACATGACATATTATATGAGCACATGCATTAGTTTAAATACCTACATAACATGTTTCACCATTTCTCAACCATAAGGGTTAGTCTGGAATCAAAATTCATCTAATAGGTACTGCCTAGAACAGTACCATTTGGTAAAACGTATTAAACTTTCAGAAAAATTTGCTCAATGCCCACAAAGATTATGCTGGAGTTGAAAAATCAAAAACTCGAAAATTATCATCATCATTTGGATATAATATGTATATAGAGTTGAATGAGAAATTACATGTGGAAATTACGTATGATACGCCAATGTCCTCAATATAACCTAAAATAACAACAAACGTCAGAAATCTAGTGTTTATCCCACGAAATGAATAAAGATGGAACTATATAACTGTTTCACAAACACTTTAGAGTGAGAGGAGGCGAGGATCTGTCCGTACCCTGTTAAGATGACAAAAAATACGTCAATTTACATCAAGGGACAGAGATGTATAGAAATTTTACATGAAAAACAAGCCAACACACCATAATTCGTCTTTCTTCATAGTGAGTAGTGAGTTCGACTAGCGCGATGGCTCAGTGGTCTGTGTATCTGACTTTCAAGATTTAAACTCATCAAATTCTCCAAATTTGTTCAATATTGTAAGTGATATCTAGGGACCTATAGCAAAATATTTTCGTTGGCAAACCGATATCCCATAAAAGCGAGTTAGTAGGTGGGCCAGGTGTTTCGTTTACAACTTGACGGAATTCATTGGGGTCCGAAGTCGTCGGGATTATATTTAACGCCGCCACACACCGGGGGTCACACAGATTTGTCTCGTCCAAAATAAGTCTGGCCTGACAGTCAAAAAATCATCACAGATGATTTATACCATACCACACTTCATTCACATCATGTACCCTACATTACGTGATTGTGTGATGAGATTATCTCATTGTTCATTATTTTTGAGACTATTGACTACTTGGTTGATTTAATGCAATATAATTTCGATAATTAAACTCACCCCTGTTATTTTAAAAGGCTAGAGAAACCTTCACATTTAATCGAAATCATATCGCCAACTCAATACTCAATCATCGATATTCATCCTATTCTGCATAAAATGGGCTATCGGGAATGATTGTTCACCAAATGTTGACAGATCTTAGTTGACAGTAAAGTTGTCATAGGTTCTCGAAAACACAAAGCATTGGCTGAGCCTGTTTTACACAACTATAGACCTAGGATCCCGAAATCCTCTTTTTTTAATACTTGTGCGCTTTTTTATTGAATTATATTTCAGCGCCTCGTCCTCGAGATCACCTTGATTACACTTGTAGTACCCTTATTCTGAGCTTGATGACCACAACGTTTAAAGACTTAAGTCTCAAAAAAATAAAAACTTCCCATCTCTAATTCCTCGATGATGTCCCATCTCTAATATCTCCGATGCTCTATGTATTGTGTTCCATGATTCCTTCATAACCTTTTTTGTGCTTGATGATACAACACGTGGTTTTTGTTAACTTTCATTTAATTGTGATTATTTTGTAAATCCAAGGAATAATGGGTCACAAATCAAGAAAAAGAAAACGTTCTAGATCTAGGTCGCGTAGAAGGTCTTCAGATCGGCTCGTCCAGGAATTGGTAGACCGTATAAAAAGACTAGAGAGAGTGGCTAGCAAACCAAGCGGGGGGGATCGAAGTCCGAGAGGCTCGGCTCCTGATGGTTACCCGCATAGTTCAACAGCAGCCCACGGTTCTAGCAGGCCATCAGCAGTAGTCCATACCTCTAGAAGGTCGACAGCCACATCTAAAGACGATTTAGACCGGAAGGTTTCTTCAGGAAGTAGGCGTGATCGCAGCCCGAGAGGCTCGGCACCAGATCGCAGCCCGAGAGGCTCGGCACCAGATCGCAGTCCGAGAGGCTCGGCACCTATTCGTAACGTAAAAGGCCTGGCACATGTTCGTAGCCCGAGAGGCTCGACAAGAGATCAAAGCCCAAAAGGCTCTACACGAGATCGAAGCCCAAGAGGCTCGACTCATAATTCAAAAGACTTGGCACCTGTCCACAGCTCGAGAAGCTTTACTCCAGACTGTAGCCTGAAAGGATCAATAGATTCCTACCAAACCACAAGCCGAGGCTCAAGCCCTAGTGCCAGTCCAAGTCAGAGCACCCATAGTGGTCTCAGAAGCCCTAGTAGGACATCACATATAGTAAATGACAGATGCCTTCTGGATAATATACCTGATCCAAATTCTACCTGCCCAACAGATATAAATATGTTAGATGAAGAAACTCTGAGATGTCTGGGGGGGGACCCTAGTGAGAATGACAAGAAAGAGACCCAGTGTCATGCAGAATTGGCCTCTAGGTGGACAAAGATTTTGAAAAATGGATTAGATCAGGATATGAAGACATCTCTGATAGCCAAATATCCAATCCCCTCAAATTGTACAAGATTGAGTGCACCTATGATCAATCCAGAAATCAAGAAATTACTATCCCAATCCCAGCTTACAAAGGACAAAGTTCAGACTTTGGGACAGAACCAGTTAGGTACAGGCATTGTAGCTCTGGGGGAGGCTATCAACATACTATTGGTTACAAAAAATCGAGACAAAGAACTCCTTACACATTTATGTGATGCTGGTCAACTATTAACAGACCTGCACCATAGTATGTCTATTTCTAGGCGCAAACAGATCATTCCACTTCTATCCAGATCAGCCAGTGAAATTGCTCAAGGGAATGATATTGATGAATTCCTGTTTGGGAAGGATTTTGCTGAACAATGTAAAAATGAGAAAGCTGTGGAGAAATCCAGCACTGAACTTATGAGAAACATGCCCTCAGTTTCTAAACCAGTATCAAAGAAACCCAGGGTACCATTCATACAACAGGGAAAACTTTCTTTAAACCGAAAGGCCCCACCTCGTTACCTGAGGGAACATCAGAGGTACAAGGGGCACTTCCCTCAGAACAAAGAGAATCAGAGAAAAGACTACAGACCACGCCGCCATTAATGTCGGTAAGTTTTCTAGGTTCTTCACCTAGAAACTTGAGTTTTTTTGTGGATAATTGGAAGAAAATCACTAACAATAAGGTGATTTTGAATTGGATCAAGGGATACAAAATTCCTTTCTCTTGTAAACCCACACAAGTTCATTCTCCAAATATGATGCAATTGTCAATGAGTGATATGAACCACATTTCAAGTTCCTTGAGTATTCTTTTAGAGCAGGGGGTTGTGGAACCCTGTCTCCAATCTAAAGACCATTTCTTGTCATCATATTTTTTGGTTGACAAAAAGGATGGAAGTAAGAGATTCATTTTGAATCTAAAGAAGTTGAATTCTTTTATTAATACTCCACATTTTAAATTAGAAGACATCCGCACTGCCATCAAATTAGTTCAGAAGGGCTGTTTCATGGCCACTATTGATTTAAAAAATGCTTATTATGCCCTACCAATTCACAAAAAATACAGACATTTTTTGAGGTTCTCATTTAAGGGCATTTTATATCAATTTACATGTCTTCCCTTTGGCCTTTCATTGGCGCCTTATGTTTTTACCAAACTCACTAAACCAGTTATTGCATTTTTTCGAAGGAATGCCATCTCATGTGTTATATACTTGGATGATTTCTTGATATTTGGCAAAACAAAAGAAGAATGTGAGAAAAATGTCGATACAGTAGTTTCAACCTTAGAAAGTCTAGGTTTTACAGTAAACTATGAAAAGAGTATTCTTTCACCATCCAAAAATTGCAGTTTTCTTGGATTCACATTAGATAGTGAAAACATGACAATATGTTTGCCAATAGAAAAAAGATGCAAGATCCTGAACACAATAAAAATAATCAAAGAGAAAAAAGTTTGTAAAATAAGATTTTTTGCACACTTTGTTGGGTTATTAATTTCAGCCTGCCCAGCCATTAAGTATGGCTTTCTTTATACAAAACAGTTTGAGAGAGAAAAATTTCTTGCACTTCGTAGAAATAATCAAGACTATGAGTCATTTATGCAAATTTCAGATTCACTAAATGATGATTTGTCTTGGTGGGCCAACAATATTATGTCAGGTTTTAATGACATAAGACAAGATTCATTCTACTTAGAAATTTTTACTGATTCATCCCTTACTGGCTGGGGTGCCTACTGTACAGGTGAAAGAACTCATGGTTGGTGGTCACTAGAAGAACAAGATGAACATATAAATTACTTAGAACTTTTAAGTATTTTTTATGGCCTGAAATGTTTTGCTAGACAATTACATTCATGTAGTGTACTTTTGAGAGTTGATAATACCACTGCACTTTCATATGTCAACAGGATGGGAAGCATCAAGTATCCAAAATTAAGCAAACTCGCTAAGGACATTTGGCAATGGTGCGAACAAAGGAATATTTGGATTTTCGCCACATACATAAATACCAAAGATAATTTTATAGCTGATCAGGAATCAAGGGTCTTGCCTGCTGAGACTGAGTGGGAGCTGAATGAGAAAATATTCTTGAGAATCAAAGATAGGTTTGGCAGCCCTAATATTGACTTGTTCGCATCAAATCTGAATGCAAAATGTAACACTTATGTTTCATGGTTACCCGACCCTGAATCCATTTCAGTTGATGCATTCAGTATAAGTTGGAATGATTATTATTTTTATGCCTTCCCTCCGTTTTCATTAATATTACGTACATTAAATAAGATAATTCAGGACCAAGCAATTGGAATCCTAGTTGTTCCGGATTGGGATACACAGCCCTGGTACCCAATTTTTCACAAACTACTGATAGAAGAACCTCTTTATTTTCCCCATGAAGAGAAACTACTCTTATCTATTTCCAGGAAACACCAACCACCAGCAACATCCTTGATTGTCGGGAAGTTATCAGGCAAGCTTTTTTAAGGAAAAAAATTCCGGAGTGTGGGATCCCTACGATCATTGAATCCTTGTCAAAGGCCACCCTAAAACAGTACAACACCACATTCAAGGCATGGAGAGTTTTTTGCCAGACAAGAAATATACATTTTTTGGAGGGAGGAGTAACAGAAGTTGTCACTTTCCTGCAAGAACAGCTAGACAAAAATGGTTTTTCTTATGGGACATTCAATACTTATAGATCAGCTCTTTCTTTGATATTGCCTGGAGAAATAGGAAAAGATCCACAAATCCGCAGATTTGTTAAGGGCATTCACAGACTCAGGCCCCCTAGGAGACGATATAATTATACATGGGATCCTCAACTTGTTTTAGCACACCTAGAATCTTGGCCTTCAAATGAATTACTTCCATTGGATAAACTAACCAGAAAGGTTGCTACCTTGTTGGCACTAGTCACGGCTCATAGGATGCAGACATTAGCTCTGACTAAGGTATCTAATGTAATAGTATCCATAACAGAAATTCAGATTTTGATATCAGACAATATTAAAACCACTTCAGCAAGGGGGATGCAACCTTGTTTACATCTACCCTATTTTCCGGATAATCCCAAACTATGCACCGCTTCCGCACTCTTGCATTACATCGAACGGACAGCAGCTTTGAGGAAACCTGTACAAGATTTTTTATTTTTGACCACGAAAAAGCCTCATGAGACTGTCTCCACACAGAGCATAAGTAGGTGGATACGGCAGACACTGGCGGAAGCTGGAGTGGACATGTCGGTTTTCTCAGCCTATTCCACTCGGCATGCTACTACCTCAGCTGATTTTAGGAATGGAGTTCTTCTGGAAACAATCAGAAAGACTGCTGGTTGGAGCGAGAATTCGCTAACTTTTGCTAGATTTTACAATAGACCGCTGTCTAGAAATCTAGATCTTGCAAAATCTATATTAAACATGTAGACTATGACTTTATATTGACTAAGAAAACGCTACTTTTGTTCAAATAAATTACAATGACTTCCTGCATTGAATTTATTAATTCCTATGTCATTTCATAGTTTCACATCAAGGAGCAGTAACTGTGTTACCAAAAACAGATTATTTCAAAAATTGTTACAAGCTCTTTAAACATCTACAAGTGTAATCAAGGTGATCTCGAGGACGAGGCGCTGAAATATAATTATACGATCAAACGAACTTACCTGTGAAGTTCGATCGTAATTATATGAAGCGCCTCGTCCGAAGAGATCACCCCCCGCGCCACCCAAACCCCTAAATTCATGTAACAATTTTATGAATCTTTAAAATTATGAAGGAATCATGGAACACAATACATAGAGCATCGGAGATATTAGAGATGGGACATCATCGAGGAATTAGAGATGGGAAGTTTTTATTTTTTTGAGACTTAAGTCTTTAAACGTTGTGGTCATCAAGCTCAGAATAAGGGTACTACAAGTGTAATCAAGGTGATCTCTTCGGACGAGGCGCTTCATATAATTACGATCGAACTTCACAGGTAAGTTCGTTTGATCGTATAATACGACTGTACATTGAGTTCATTGCATCGAACTCAATCTAAACAAACGCATTGTCACTGTCACTAGTGTCACCCATCACCAGATTACAATGTCAACTTCGTTCTTCTTCTCCGTATGATCGTGGCTAAGTTACCGACCGTCGGAAGGATTTGTCACGCTGTTGAAATCAAAAGAAGGTGGGATTTTTGATGTGCGAAAACGGTTAAATACACCAAGGGATACATGCACCTTCATAATAAAATAACCATAACATTCGCGATAGAAAATAAGCGTATACTACCTATCGGAGTCTTAAAAGCTGTCAAAGCGGCCTTTTTACTTTGTTTTCATTGGTTTCACATTTGTTTTTTGCAATATTAAGATCTACTACTCCCAAAATATATGATCAAAACAAATCGCTCAGAAGTGTTCAAGTTGTTGCCGTCAGGTGGTGCGACGTATTATTTTCTGTCGCTAATGGTTCTCAAAAATGAATATTCTGGTAAATTTTCCGAGAATTGGGATGCGTAAACATGTTGAATGTTTACTAATGAACTCACCTGACGTAATCTACTTTGCAGTAGGTCTTCCCGTCTCTCACAAAACACGTACACGACTCGTCCAGAAACCTCTGGCACTCCTGACACTTGAGACAGGCCGCGTGCCACTCTAGGTCCGGAGCCACCCTCAAGATGTACTGGTCGTGGATTTGGCTCCCGCAACCCACGCATCTACTAGTTCGACGAGTTTTTTCTGAAAGAAAAACACACCTAGAAGGATTTCCCGAAATCAGCCAGGCCAGGAGTCACCTCAATAGAATAAATATAGTTTGAATTGAATAATAATACATAAATCAGTTACCAGTTTGGTCATCTAATAGGTGTCTAAGAAATTTCGGTTCGGGCGTTTTCAACGTGAAAATTTAGAATACTGCTATATTGTGGCAATAGCCACTTCCAAATAGCCTAAAAAATAAATGAAAAAATATATCATCAACAGTCTCATATGAAGCCTGTTCCTGTTCGTTTTTTTCAACAGGTGCTCTGAGCTCTCGGTCTCGGAGATGCTGCATCAGAGAAATCATTGAAATCATATTGAATCTCAAGTCGGATTTTGAACTTTATAAAAAACTTTATACACACGTGTGTGGATATAGAGCCCGGTGCACCAAAATGAGAGAAGAAGACGAAGAATAAATGAAGAAGAGAAATGACAAATGACCGTGAAATGACCTTAGACCTTTTTGTTTCCAACTTTTTTCACTTGTGGTTGTGGAGTTAATTTTAATTTTTAATGTATTCTTCTTGTATACTTTTTTTACTAACATAATTATTTGATTCTCGATTTGATATGAATCAAATTCTGGTTTTAAGTTTGAAATACCTACTCGATAACCATTATTATTTGTTGTTATTGGTAATTTGAAGTGATTGTATGGTATTTATGGTAAGAAAAAGAAATATGAAGTATTCCTTTGATTTGTTGATATTACTAGTTACAGACCACAGTGACACTACCTATCATTATTTTTTCTACCACTAAGCTGATAGTTCAGTATCCTTTACTGAGATGGTTATTCCTATCATAAATGTCATATTTCACTTTCAGATTGTGTTAACCAGTAAGTTCCCATAAGGTACCTAGCTTAGCTGAACTGAATAATATAGTGATCATGGTACAAACCTCGTACAAACATAGTGTGAAGGAGTCTGAAATTGAAGGTAAGTTGTAAGAACATAAACAAAAGGCATGATTGAATGAGCATGAATTCTGCCAGAGCCGGATTTAGGGGTCTGGAGGCCCTGGGGCAAAAAAGTAGTGGAGGCCCCCTGACACCTAATTATTTTTCAAATAAAATGAACAATTTTGTGAGATAAAACGAGTCCAACTTGTTGGTGGCTTAGTATAATGTAAATGTATTTATGAACATAGTCATTGTTCTTCTATATGCTCTATCTTTTTTTAATTTATAATGTTTTATGTTTTATGAATCCACCATAAACTTAGTGTGTATGAATATTCATCATCACATGTTTCATATATGTATATAAGTCAGGGTTTTCAAGATTTTCTGCGCTCAGGAAAGAGGCTTGCTCAAATATTATCTCTGACCTCTGAACATTTCTGAAGCATAAGTACCTATATAATATAGGTAGGCATAGAATTATCTTTAGCAATAAGGGTTATGAGAATATCAACTTACAGTTTGACCGGAAGTAAATTCAACATTCCTTTACGTACTTATAGGTCTTAGTAGTTGAAGGTAGCTAATATTTTGCCACTGGACAAATGAATGACACATTTTACACAAATGCATATTATTTCCATTCCATGTTGTTTTAAAAGCTTGAACTGGAAAAGACATTTTGTTTACATTCATATCTCACACATGATCGATGCGTTTCTATTTCGGAAAGGCTTTTCTGCTGTTTATATTGCTGTAATGTAATGTATTTAGTCCGACGACAGATCCAGTTTCAGTTATATTCGGTCTCGTGAAAGCAAAGATGAACTTAATGGACGGGTAAATAAAGGGTAAACACCGACGGTAACGTAATATTAGTTGCCGCCATTTGCATTTCCACACATATTATTTATTGTCATATGGAAAGTGCAACTACAGTTCTCAACACACCAAATGGACCACTCATAATTTGACTCTATTTCGAAGACCTGTATTTTTTTAAAAAATTGACCGACTTCATGCGGTTTTCGATATCAGATGTGATGTTTCATCGGCTTCAAAGAGAGCTAGAACAATCTGAAAAAGTCCGCAAAACAAAACTCACACAGGGTTTAAAGTGGAACCATTACACTATGGTCTACATTTCCAATGCTGCCAGAACTCGAGAGAAATTTTTTTCTGATCAAAAGTCAGTCATATTATGATACACTGGGACCTCATCTCGGGACGTTTTCGTGATTTCTCCTTAATTGGCCATTGGAACAAAAATTCGATTTTTTTTCGAAAGTCTTGCATTTGTTGATTTTTTTCTCTAGAACTCCACTTGAGCTGACTATTGGGAAGAACTGTTCTCATGTTTTATGGAGGATAATGAAAGACGAAAAAAGCACTTTTTTGGATTATACAGGATGATAAGAAACTAGGACAAAATCTCATTTCAGTGAAAAAAATCAAAAATGGTGACTAAAACTATGGCCCATTCGATCCAGTATATTCAGAAACGGCCTTCTCGATATCCATTATTTATATTAGACCATTAACTCGAGACGTTTTCGAAAATTCGCCTCTAAATGAAATACAGGATGAAAATTTCCAATTCAAACTTGTTTCCTGATATTGATGGCTTCCAATATTTATTGCCCAAGTATGAGACACAGAGTATTGTTGTTCAATGTACTGAGTGTTCTACAACTTATCTGACAAATTTCAACCACAACTACGATATTACATAAGAAGTCTATATCCACTAAAACTATTCTAAAAGGGCTTTATTGGCGAAATATATGACATTATTGAATTCTTCAGCATTATGAAGATCCAACTAGAAAGTCCTATATACTAAATTTCAGTACTTGGTAGGCCTCCCCGATTCAACAAAACCTCATGAAATCGGTTTGGCATAGATTTTATGAGGTTGTTGATGAAGTCTATTGATATTGCCGCCCATTCAGGATAAGGTTGTCATTATTTTGGGGTGCCTCGCCTTCTCGATAGGTCAAGTTTCATTCGGCTCCACACATGTTCAATCAAATTCAGATCTGGAGATAATGCTGGTCACCACATTCTTCTAACATTATTGTTTTCTAGAGTTCGTAATTTGTCAGATAAGTTGTGGAACACTCAGTATATTGAACAACAATGCTCTGTGTCTCATACTTGGGCAATTAATATTGGAAATCCGTTGATAAAATGATGAGAATCATCGATATCAGGAAACAAGTTTGAATTGAAAATTTTCACCATGTATTGTCCTATTTTCTTATCACCCTTTTCGAATAGTTTTAGTTGATATAAAGTGTTACAAATTTTATTTTCCATCGCGTTTCACTTTTATTAAATTTTTTTGTGATAGACTTCTCATGTAATATCGTAGTTGTAAAACACTCAGTATATTGAACAACAATTCTCTGTTTCTCATACTTGGGCAATAAATATTGAAAATCATCGATATCAGGAAACAAGTTTGAATTGAAAAATTTCATCCTGTATTTCACTTAGAGGCGAATTTTCGAAAACATGTCGAGTTAGTAGTCTACTATAAATGATGGATATCGAGAAGGCCGTTTCTGAATATACTGGATCGAATGGGCCAATCACGAAAACGTCCCGAGATGAGGTCCCAGTGTATCATAATATGACTGACTTTTGATCAGAAAATAATTTCTCGAGTTCTGGCAGCATTGGAAATGTAGACCATAGTGTAATGGTTCCACTTTACACCCTGTGTGAGTTTTGTTTTGCGGACTTTTTCAGATTGGTCTAGCTCTCTTTGAAGTCGATGAAACATCACATCTGATATCGAAAACCGCATGAAGATCAATCAATTTTCAAAAAAAATACAGGTCTTCGAAATAGAGTCAAATTATGAGTGGTCCATTTGGTGTGTTGAGAACTGTATAAGAAATAATCTGAAATGTTAATGATTGTGAAATTCAGATTAATGAAAAAGTGCGGTGTGTATAAATCCGCCTTGACTGTTGTCGGTGTCAGCTGACGGATTTATCTGGTGGCGCGTTGGTTGTCGTCTTTCGATTCGAGAGGTGGTGTTTGTAAAATACTCGTAAAATAAGCTGGGCATATAAGATTTGAGATTTAAGCCTGTGCGAGGCTGGTGAGCTGCCATAGCTAGGCCGGCTGGCGGCATTCCTGATGCGGTGACCGGCGCCTCACTTATCGCCTGTCTAGCCCTCTCGATGCCGAAGGAAAAGAAGCGAGAACTGATAGTCCCTTCTCGCCTCTCGGTCACAACTTCTGCTTTCAATTCAATTTCTTATCCTACAAGCATAGATCTGAATAGTGTGTATTTATATCTGTAGAATGAAGAGATTTTGTATTTCGTGTAAAATTTATTATAAAATCGCAAAGCGCTTTCGGCTACCTGCAAGTAAGTAACATTTATGAAAATTTCAAAAAACAAATACGAAAGTCTTACTCGTAAAGTATTCACAAAAAGGTAAAAAATTAGTGATCGGCGACATCGATCATTATGGTACAAACGGAATTAGGAACAGACATACATTTAACAGAAAAGTTCCATAATGGGTTATTGTGAAAATTTCAAAAACACATTTTAAAATTGTTTAGTTCAGGTCCTGATGGAAGAGCACGAGGGACCTTAACCTTAATTAGTCTGACGAATATGTGACATTTTTAACCATGATAATATTGTTGACATCAGAGACTGAGTATCAATGTCAATGACTGAGAGTTAACAGTGACATAGTGACCATTCAATTTGCTCACCTTGTCAATTCTTTCTCACGCTTTGTGGTCACTAAGTCACTTGTCTACTTCATACTCATGTTAACTCAACTCAGCCATTGACAGTGACACTCAGTCTCTGTCAACAATATTATGATGGTTAAAAATGTCACATATAGGTCGCGTGCAAGAACTGTCAGATGACCGATCCTGGAGGCAAAACATTGAAACACAACGTCACTTTTCTTATTTGTTTACAAGTGATTGAAATAGTTTTTCACAATTATTTTGGTATATGAATCGTATTTTTCCGCTATTCATCAATTCGCTCTGTCGCTCATGCCATCACATTGTGCTGTTGTAAAAT